TACTATACTATGTCGTTTTTTTCGTGCTAAAAACGCCTTACTATACTATGTCGTTTTTTTCATGCCAAAAACGCCTTACTATACGATGTCGTTTGTTTCATGCCAAAAACTCCTTACTATACTATGTCGTTTTTTTCATGCCAAAAACGCCTTACTATACGATGTCGTTTGTTTCATGCCAAAAACTCCTTACTATACTATGTCGTTTTTTTTCGTGCTAAAAACGCCTTACTATACTATGTCGTTTTTTTCGTGTCAAAAATGGCATACTATACTATGTCGTTTTTTTCGTGCTAAAAACGCCTTACGATACTATGTCGTTTTTTTCGTGCCAAAAACGCCTTACGATACTTTGTCGTTTTTTTCGTGCCAAAAATAGCATACTATACTGTGTCGTTTTTTTTCGGCTAAAAACGCCTTACTTTATACATGGTCGTTTTTTTCGCCTAAAAACGTATTACTAAACATGGTCACTATACTTAATGTTTGGGGGCTCAAAAACGCCATACAATGCATGGTGGGATTTTTTTTTTGCTGTAAAAACACCTGACAACATGGTCGTCTTTTGGCTGTAAAAACGCCTTACAATGCATGGTCGTTTATTTTGCTGTGAAAAACGCCTTCCTGTTCTTAAAATATTCTTGACAAAAAAAGTCTTACCCGACATGCACTCATCTTTCAAAATAAACTGTTTGATATAGGGCCAGTGTGGATTTCTCACGACCTACCTGTTATCAAATGGTTAAGGCGCCGGCGTCGTGCCGTGGAGCTGCAGGGTTCGATTCCGGCTCTGACCTACCTGTGTGTTTGCAAAAAACCTCCATACCCATCCATTTTCTGTTCCTCTTCTCCGCACAATTCATCACGCTCACAGTCACACCAAGGAACAATTCACAAAATGCATAAGATACATGGTTGTCCTTTTTGGCTTAAAACACCTGACGAGAAATTGTTGTCCTTTTTTGGCGACAAACACCTCACGTGTCATGTTGTATAGAGCATGATGTTATAGAGCGACAATGTGGCATTTTCATTGCTTCCCTGGTCGTCGAATGGTTAGTGCGTCTATCATACGCTGCGAAAGTGCAGGGCTCGATTCCGGCTCTGCTGTGTGTTCGCAAAACCATGCATGGCAGGCCGTTTTCTGGTCCTCTTCTCCGCATGACTCTTCGCGCTTGCACTCACACCAAGGAACAATTCACAAAACCTCGAACTATACCTTACATGTTTTGTCTTTTTTTGGCTGTAAAAAACGCATTACGAGACATGGTTGTCTTTTGTGGGCTAAAAACGCCATGGTCGGGTTTTTTTCAGCTAAAAAATACCTTACTATACATGGTCATTTTTTTCAGCAAAAAAAATGCCTTGCTATACATGGTCGATTTTTTTTTTGGCTAAAAACGCCTTTGCAATACATGGCCATTTTTTTCAGCAAAAAATGCCTTGCTATACATGGTTGTTTTTTTTGGATAAAAACGCCTTGCTATACATGGTCTTTTCTTTCGGCTAAAAATGCCTTGCTAAAATCGTCTTACTATACATGGTCGTTTTTTTCGATAAAAAACGCCTTACTATACATGGCCATTTTTTTTTCAGCTAAAAATGCCTTACTATACATGGTCGTTTTTTTGGGCTAAAAACGCCTTGCTATACATGGTCTTTTCTTTCGGCTAAAAATGCCTTGCTAAAAACGCCTTACTATACATGGTCGTCTTTTTCGGCTAAAAACGCCTTACTATAACATGGTCGTTTTTTTCGGCTAAAAACATCTTACCATACATGGTCGTTTTTTTCGGCTAAAAACACCTTACTACACATGGTCGTTTTTTTCGGCTAAAAACGCCTGACTATACATGGTCGTTTTTTTCGGCTAAAAACGCCTGACTATACATGGTCGTTTTTTTCGGCTCAAAACGCCTTACTATAATGGTCGTTTTTTTCGGCTAAAATCGCCTTACTATACATGGTCGTTTTTTCAGCAAAAACACCTTACTATACCTGGTCTTTTTTTTTCCCGGCTAAAAACGCCTTGCATGGTCGTTTTTTTTTTTTCGGCTAAAAACGCCTTGCCAAAAACGCCTTACTATACATTGTCGTTTTTTTCGGTAAAAAATGCCTTACTGTACATGGTGGTTTTTTGGCTGTCAAAAACACCTTACTATACATGGCCGTATTTCTGGGCCAAAACACCATCCTATACTTGGTCATTTTTTTCAGCTAAAAACGCCTTACTATGCATGGTCGTTTTATTCTGCAAAAAATGCCTATCCATGGTCGTTTTTTTGGGCTAAAAACGCCTTACTATATATACATATACAGTATATACGTAAGACAGTCGTTGCAATGTTGTAAATATAGGAAGTACGGCAATGTCGTTTGCCGGTAAAATTCACAAACGCGTTGCACAAAAAAAAAAAAATCCCATTTGGCATTTTTGCTGTTTCATTGACCTAAATGGCTATTCATGTATGGTACTGTTTGAATGATTCAAATCAGACATACTTTTTACAGGTCTTTATTTTTGTTTGTAATTACAGAACCATGAATTAAGAAAAAAAAAAGTTAAAAAAAATTTTTTTTGTTGTTGAACCCCACGTCCCTCTTTTTCACCCAAGAGAAATGTCAACACACAACTGGCACCGCTCCCTGCTTAACCTGCGTAAAATATCAGCCCACTCCGTTAACTTAATCAATGCCACAAACTGGTCAGCCTCCCTCTGACAAGCCGTGACTGCACTGCGCAATGTCAGAATGGAATGGGGCCCAACTGTACCCCCCGCATCAAAACACAGGCGCACACACACACACACACACACACGAACACACACACATACAACATCTTGCCTTTCTTACTCCCGAAAAACTGCCTTTCAACTTTGTTGGCGATGTATAAAAATCACATGTTGGGCCAGCGAATTGTTAAGTGGCGTCTGTACTGCAGTGTGCTGACGTGCGAATCAAACGTGTGTGTGTGTGTGTGTGTTGCGGGGAGGGGGGGAACCCCAAAGCATCATCAGCGTTTGCTGTTGTAGTAAATGCCCCCTGTGGCCGGCCTGTGGTCGCCCTGCCCCCCTCCCCCCCACACGGAGAGAATGGGGTGAGTGTGCATAGCGGGAGCAGAGAGAGAGAGAGACGCTGCGGAGACAGTGGGGGGCGGCGGCGCCACCTGGGGAGGGGTCGTCAACCTCCACTGGTCCTGAAACCTGAAACGACAAGAAGTGGTCTAATATACAGAGAGAGGAGGGGTGAGAGGAAGGAAGGAGACACACGGGCTGGGGGTTGCACCAAATAAAAACATTGTCTGCCAAAAAAATAATAATAAAGCGCAGGTTGTCGAGCAGGAGACCGCTATGAACGTATGGTGGGTAGATGGCCACACAGGGAAGAGCCCCACTTTCCAGAATAATAAAAGAAATACACATTTCTAATTTTCCACCGCAAGAGGGTCAGTCGCTTTCCAAAAAGTAGTGTGGTGAAGAACACAAAAAAACTACAAATAAATCATGGGGCGTTGATCTGGGGAGGCTATAAGGTGAAAAGAGTCAGAAGAGATGGAAAGGGGGAGTAGGAGAGGGTGGTACAGCAAAAAGACTTAAAACACATCAAGAGCCTGGCTAATCAACATTTCACATTAGAACAACACAATAAAAAAAATTGTCATATAAGTAACCCCCCCCCTTTTTTGTTGCTTTTTTTTCCAGTGGTGGTAGGTGAATGGGGTGAATGGGTGGGCTGTGGATGGTGTAGAAGCAGGATGTCACAGCCAGACCAAAGGAGACATGCCTGCAGCCTGAGATGTCATCACGTCAACATTCCCACACCCAAAGCAACAAGAAAAAAACAAAGAAAAAACTTGCCATCATACTTCTTGCACCCAAAGGCCAGCGTATACCTTACCAGGGGGGTCGCACCAACCTCTGCACACGCACGCTCACATACAAATGCACACTGCAGACAGTCAGTCTCTCTGTCCAGGTTTTTTTTTCTCCTTTTTTTCCTTTTTGTTTCTCTCTTCTGGAACTCTTCTTTTTTTTTGGTTGGGGAAGGAAAGGGGAGGGGAGAGGGCAATTTTAAAGTGTATGTATATGCACGAGTGTGAGTGTGTGTAAGTGTGTGTGTGTGTGTAAGTGTGTGTGTGTGCGTGTGTTTTGGAACAGAGAAGGAAAAGGGGTTGATAGTAAAAGGAGGGGAGGGGTTGGAGTGTTTAGTAAGGGCAATACCACGATGTTCGCCCTCGGCCCCTGGAAGAGAGAGAGAAAAAGAGGGTGAGTTTCTTTCTGGTTGGCTTGAGAAGATGGACACCAATTTTCTGGTGTGGTATTCAATTTGGTGTGCGCGCTTGTGGGCAGAGGTGCGTTCCAAAATGTGTGCCGAAAACAACTGGTGACTAAAACTTAACAGACTTAACATCTTAACACTGTTGCACATTTGCTTTTATGCCAGTGTAGCAATACAACATGTGAGTGCGGAGGAATGGGCTAAGAGTAGCTTCAGTCAGCTTTGCTAAAGAAGGACGAGTGTTTAATTTCAAGACCTACGTGAGCGGGTGTGCGCGTGGCTGGGTTTAACGGGGGTAGCAAAGGCACACTCTCCCTCTTTCTCTCTCTCTAGCTTCTTAGGACACATTGCACAACAGCCCCTGAAGAATGACCCCCACTATGGTGCCACTCTGGTCTGCAAAATTAACATTTTGTGGGGGGGTGATGGGGGTGTTGACAATGCGAGGTACGCCCCAGCTGTTCTTGGAGAGGAGCATCAAGATTTCCCTCATGAACCAGCTGTGCAAAAGGGGGCTCCCATTCGTGCGAGAACCACCATTGGGGTCACTGGGGGTGGGGGTAAACTCAAAATGAAAACACAGCGCACGCACACACCACAGCATTATCACTTGCCAAACCCACACTAAAGCCAAGCACACTATTCCAAAAGCCCAAACAGGGGTCACCCCTTCAACACACAACACACACGCAGACAGACACCAGTGGACCGATGCTGAGATCAGGCTGCAGTAATGAACCTTTGTCTCTGGGAGTGCACACTAACTTAAAGGTTGGGTGCCATTAAAAAAAAAAAATCAAAAATACTAAATAAAAACCAAACCCCACACACGCGCCCAAATTCTTCTCTTTCAACTTGCAAAGATGACATGTTATGCATGCAATCGCATTCGACACACGCCAACTCTTGTTGCGCTTTCGCTTTGCCTCAGTGTGAACATTCAACTGCAGAGTACGGCAGTATCTTCCAATACGACAAATTGGCGGGGCCACCATCCAAAAAGGCTTTTAATGTAGGACCCTGCCATGCACACCCCGACGATATCGCAGATTTTAAAGTGATCGTTTGCCTTTTTACTGAAGTTGTCCCGATTCATGCTCAGAAATCGACATTTTCTGTATGTGCCGGATAAACTTTTCAAAACTGCAAAGGAAACCAAATTCCCTTTCAACCTCCATTTCATCTAGCGTGCAGTTTGACTCTAAATTTACACAATTGTCCCTCAAAGTTATACTTGTGACTCGAACGGCCCTGAAAATGAACATGTGCACTTCGGCTATGACCTTTGAGCTCAGCTACCAGAACCAACAATCAGAGTGTGATGACTGATTGAGGGTAGCCTGTAGAGACGAGGCGTACCCTACTCTGAATATGTCAATTTGGATGTCACCAAGACGGGACGGACCTCAACCACTGAACTGACAAAGAACTCTGAACAAGAGTATCTCCTAAAGTCCTAAAGCGGAAGGCGCCATCAAGAAAGCCTGCGTTGAACAGTGGCGCCTTTGCTATTGTCCGTCGTTTTGATCCCAATAGGGAAAGTGTTGCGTTTCTGTCCAAATTCGACAAGTAAAACGCGTGCTCGTCATCCGCAACAGGTAAACACAACCGATGAACTGGAGTAATGAGCAGTTGGTTTCCACTGGGCTGGAAGGAGAGGAAGGGAACATGCGGGTCACACGCTATTATGAATCATTTGCTTTTCAGGAGCTCATCACAAGAATAGAGACTTCGGATCCATGGACAGTCAATTGAGCTGAGAGGAGCCCAGTGTGTACAATGCCCTTGTGTTTCGTGAAATGGCCATGCCATGCAATGAAGCCCACAGATGAGACATGACATTTCCCAAGTGTGCAAATGAGTGCATGTTGCCCAGCTGGCAAAAATGGGACATTTCTAACTGCCCTCCAAACTCTTGAACAGTAGTGTAGATATATTACGTTGCTTGTTCTCATCTTTCCTAGATGAGAGGGACACACTGTCGTCTAAAACAAAGACCATCTATTTCTTCAGGTTCCTTCCAAGCTAGAGCTATCCTCTTGTCGAGTTGATTTAAACCAATCTTTATACTTGAGTCCCTTCCCATATGTCAGGATAAGCAAACAGAAGAATCGTGATGCATGCTGACAAGTAAACTCCATTTGGTATGTGAGAAGATGCAAGTAATGGCCGCTCGGTGAGGGGATAGCAGTCTTCCCAACCATTCTCGGAGTGCAACAAGTGAAGATGATGTTCATGCGGGTGCGGTGTCCTCCCCCAAAGTGTCCACTGACCTGAAGGCCCGTCCTCTGCCTCTGGGTGGTGTGTAGCCACTGTAGTAGCGAGCGCGTGAAGAAAAGTTTCCTCCCCGTGATCGGAATCGAGCCCGGGAAAATCCGCGATCTGTGGTGCTGATGCCGGGTCTGTTTGTTCTCTTTGCGCCGACCTGAAAAAAAAAAGTGACGTTTCAACATTTGATACCAACTTTCTTTTAGTGTTCTGGTCGACAATTGTCAAAGCATCCTGCCGCGATCATACAATACTATGCAAAACAATATCTCCCATTGCAACTGTTACCTTTATCTGTCTTCCTCTAAACAGAGACTCATCCAAAGCCATCGCTGTCCTCACAGACTCTTTGTCTGCAAACTCGATATATGCAAACCTATGGAACAAAAGCATCATCAAGCGATGGCAAATATTTGACCCGACAGAACACATAGCAGAGATCAATGTGAACACGAGAACCTCAACTTCGATACTTTACCCTTTGGGATGCCCTGTATATTTGTCACACAAGATGGTGACTCTATTTACTGAACCGCATCCATGGAAGTGCGCCTCCAGCTCCTCGGCAGTCGCACCATAATCCACCTAAAGTAAAAAGCAAAGCGCTCAAGATTTCATGGCCTGCATAATTGAATAGAACGACAAGTAGGTATTTTATTTGTTGTAAACAAGCCATCTAGGACTGAAGTTATTCTGCGAGGACGTCAACAAAAGTGGGAGCCGTGTCTTTTCTGACAAAATCCGAGTCACAACAAAACCTGCATTTTTGTCCTTGTGCATGACAATTAAGAAAAAAAGCTACTCACGTTTCCGACGTATATCGATCGGCCATCTGCTTCCATTTTTTCCTCAAACGACATTATGACTGGGCCGACTACAAAAGGCGGGACAAAAACTGAGTAAGTGATCAAAAATATCAACAACTTGCTAAAGTAAGTACTGTATTCGTATTTTTTTAAATAAAAAATACATTGGAAATTGTCAAATCTTGTTGAACATGCTTTGTAAAACCCAAGACAACACTTTAATCTCAGTGAATGCCAGTCAAATCCTCACCAATGAGTTTTATCCGTGCTTCAAAGCCATCTCCTTTAATCTACATTACAAATTAGGTGCATGTAAAGTCCGGTGTACCATTAAAGACAAAGAGATACTGTATCTAACACTACTAATTGGATACAATACTTAATTTTTGTGTTCAATGCATATTTTCAAACATCTAAAGAGCTCTTCCTAAAAAATATAACGTTTACCTGGCGGGGGGCTTAGATTCATTTGTTTCTCCACCTCGTTCTGCAACTCCTTCAGTTTCTCTGCCTCTTCCTCCATCTCTCTCACACGGGCTTTGATAGCCTCCAGCTCCTGCAGAAGATACACAAATGTTGGTGAAGCCTTTGAGCGTACATCGAAGTACGAATTAAAAGCTGTCGCCATAATTGGTTCACGATTGCTGAGTGACGAGCCTTACAGGGTATTTCATTAATTGACTACATGCAGAAAAATTGTGGTAACGGCTGCCTGCTAAAACTTTAAAAGGCGGGGAATCATTTGATCGGACCCGTGTGCATTTCTCAAAATAAAACCCCCGAGTAACATTAAAGCTGTAAAATATAATAAAAAGTCTTTGGCCGTACCATCTATAACTTCATTTGACCATATTCCGATTTTCCTCAGTTCTACAGCTAGTTAAAGTCACGTGATGTGCTTTTGTAATGTTTTAATGCTGAGAAATCACAAATACTGACAATTAAGACTCGAGAATGGTTGACTAATTTTATTAGATCAGAACAAGAACTCTCACCGCCAATATTTTGAACCCATTTACTGTTTATTTATACACCAGCATTATCTCTGTCACACGCGTGTGCGCGCGCACACGAATATGGGAATGGGTGTTTGCAAGTCCTCACGCCTGCTATTGTACAATTAAAAAAATAAATAAATAGGGCTTGGAACACACAGACGGCAGTGTCGCCGTGTGAGCGTGCACCCTCCTAGAGAGTGGTGCATTGCAGTGGGAGTCATTCCAATTCCATTCAGGGCAATGCTGTCACAACCACATCCAGCACATAAACCAAATGCAATGACCCACGATAAATAGCCGTTGTAAACGCATGTGTACACAATGACTTGTGGCACACGCTTGCTTGCAAGCGTCAGGTCTCATTGGAAATGAGACAAATGGCAAACGAAGGCACGACCCTGCAATAAAATAACGATTGCATTGAGGCTTGCTGGCAGACACGCCTTAAAAGATCAACGTGTTGCGTGGACTGGGCATCCTCCATCGGTTTTAAATGCAAACTGTCTCTTTCCACCTCACGCGAAACACGTCCAGTCGTTAAACGACGCTCGCCACGCAGCACGGTGCGAACTCAAAAGACAATCACGGCTGCCATCTCCACCCCGATCTCGTGTTGTCGGCGAGCTTTGCCTGGCCAGACACAAATTTCGTCTCGGTCCATCAAACCGCGTCATACGCTTCGGCCCAACAAACACGGGCGCGTTTTATCGTTTCGCGGGCGACCGAGTTCGGTTCTGGGTCTAGCACGACGACTGTATTGTGTTAGGGTGACCAAGGTAAGCTAGCACGTTAGCCGGTTGTCGCTAGGTCATTTCCACGTCTCGACGTTGGTGCTTGAAATGCCGCAGCGAGGAAGCTGTGAAGTGTAAAGGCGACACACACACACACAAAAAAACGTGCCATTACCGTCAACGAGAGCGGCTTCGCAATCAAGGAGACTGACGCGACGGTGCACAGTGGTTGCGGCGTGTCCTACCCTCGCCCCCGACTAGCTCAAACATCCCAGTGTTGCGTCTTTGCGGCGATTTGTATTCAGAGGTTCGGTCTCGCCGCCTGGCGCAGAAACTAGAGCCCCTCTTGCGCCAAGATGGCTGCCGATATCGCGCATGTCACCACCCAATTCTACTGCACTGCGCGAACCATAATGGCGGTTAAAACCGTGCTGGCGGTAATAGCCACGCACACGACATGTGACATAAATCTTTGTGAGGAATTGATAGCATTCAAGAGCCACGCTAAACGTGATTAAAGAGCGCTTCGCAATGGTTTGGATATCGCAGTTGACGAGCATGGCCATTCACGTCGACATGCAACGAATGAAACAATGCCCTTCACTTACCGGGTCTTCAATTGCCGCCTCTCCCTCTTCTAATCCCGGCTCCTCGTCACCAACTCCGGGGTCTTCCAATTCGGGGTGTCCAGGGTCAGAATCTAGTAGCGATTCCTCCGCCAGCCCATTTCCGAACTCCGCCATCGCTTCGACCAAGTGTAAATGCGCCTCGTGGCCAAACCAACGGAGCAGGCCCCAACTCACGCACGAGGGGGGAGGAAGGGAGTAAGTGGGGCGGTCAAGAGAGAGGGGGAGAGGCAGAATACGCCGAGTAAAGTTAAAAGGTTCAATAAAAAGCAAGCTACGGTTCGGCCCTCGTTTGAATAGCGTAAAATCGTAAAACGTATAACATTGGTATTTGAACCTCAACCTCCAGATAATCGCCTGAATTCCCGTCAGAGCCGAGTTCAATGAATTAACTGTTTAAAAAAACACGGGCGAAGACTTGAGATCGGCGGCGGGCTCTCTTTTCAGAAATGGAGGCCAGAGGCGGGGCAAAGTGCTACTGCGGACGTATGAGAAAACACCATTTACTATTGGACGAATGGGGTCAGCCTTTTTATTCCACATCACATTTCTATTGGTTGATAAAGTAGCTTTTCCGGGTGGCAAAACGAATGGATGATTTTGATTGGATTAAACATATGACATTCAAAAACACCACTCAGGATCGCGCATGATTGCCAGAGATATATATTTTAAAATTTCTCTGAGTACTTTTTAAGATATATTCTTTTGAATGTATTATAAAAAATTCAAACAGCTAACCTTTGTGGGCCTTTCATTATTTGGACCTTCCACATTTTGCTGTTCGTGAAAAGCCGAGTGTCCACTTCCTCTGGAAATGGATGGGTTGGAATGGTCCATCTGAGTGGCTATCCAGGAGTCTCTACAAACACGCTGTCACTTTTTTACGGTTAGTTGAAGGATCAAGCCCACTCTTCAATACTCTCTCTATACAATACTTTACATATTGATGTTGACATGGTGAAAGGTTAATTAATGACAGAGTGAAACAGCTAACCATGTCAGGCAGAAAATTAGCACCAATGAAGACAAAAGAGCAGAAAAAAGGAGCCACTTAAACGAACAGGTTGCCCTCAAGGGTTGATGTCCTTCACCCATCCTCGGCATCGACTCAAAGTCTGTTTCCCCTCTGGACCACTTTGACTGGCGTAGCAGTGATTGTCAGGATGATGAGGCTTTTCTGGACATCCTGGTTCTCTTGAGCTTTTCCTGCCTCACCGTCTCACCCTCCAAGCAGGACAACTCAGATATCCGATGGAGAAAGGAGCAGGAGGCTCCCATCACGGGGTCTGTGTATGACTGACCTACATGAGGATGACCAATAGGAGAACGTAGAAAGGAGATGCTGTTAAAATGGCCTCCATTTTGTCAATATAAAATGAAGATAAATGTATATACAGTCCAAGCACACTATATGGGCAAAAGTATAGAGACACACCTCTTAATTATTAATCAGGGGTTGGGATAGACTCCGGGGACTAGCAATGGGCCAGGTCATTCGTAGTTGAGAATTTATGGCAGCAGTTGCTCATCTCTAATGACTTTGAAACCAGAGTGCCACCAGAGTGACCGCCAGTGGACAAATGAAAGTGGCCCTTGAGCAAAGCACCGACCCCATTCCAAAGCTCAAGAAGTGCACGCTCCTTTTCACTCTTAACTACTATGTAGTGTGCACCAGAAATATACAACAGTGTGAGTTTAATTTCCCCATGAGGAATTTTAAAAAAAAAAGACTCCAGTATTAAAAATGACAAAATCTACAAATAACTTTTAAACTTCATGTTATTATTAATTAAAATGCAGTATGCACAACTCTTCAATTATAATGATTAATTAAAATACAAAGTGTTGTACATGTATTTCATTAGAAAAAAAATACAGTACTACTGTATTCATACATGTATTTAACAGCCAGATTAATTTTAAAAAACTCACCTCTGAACTTATACATGTTCTTTTGGGTGAAGGGACAACATTACCACAGACAAACATCTCGCGAAAGGGGACCTTCGCCATATTAGGTTAATGTTTCCCTCTTCAGTAGGTGTTATACTCCTTTTGAGTCCACATCTGATATGCTTACTCACTCGTCACATTGTCTTTAACTGTGGGGAGGTCGTAGGCTGGATAATTCACTTTGGCCCTGCAGAAATGTAGAGCGAAGAGGCATGAGAACTACACTATAACTAGAACGATGTTTAGAACTATTAATGACCGATTTATTTCAGAATGCCCCCCCCCCCCCATCCTCAGATACCTGCTGTACTTGCAGTTCTGCACTGGAAAAGTGCTCAAGCCTTGAAGGACTAACGTAGATGGGAAAAAGGCAGCATGATTCACTTTGGGTTTGTATCTCTCAGAGTAGCTGCAAGGAATAGAAAAACAAGGGATAATAGACCCGACATTTGTACTTGCGAGTTTTGCACATGTAACATTTTACGTGTATCGTCACTGTCCTGAACTCCCGATTCGTAACCCTAACGCACCTCTCGGCCCAGTGACTTCGACCACAGTGGGGAGACACAGGCGAATTAAAGGGATGTCTTATTAATTGCTTACTCAACTGGGGCTTCTTTCCCTCCCATTTGAGCAGCAAACACTTTCCTATGGCACTCACGCTTCTGAGCACACCTGCTCCACACACTTCCGCAAACTTCCGCTGCCTAGTCTTCCGGGATTCTTCCCGCGCCAATCTTACGTCACGTCAGCCACAGTGCACTCAGCCACATATTTTTTTAAAGCATCCCGCCTCTCAGTTGTCCCACAAAACATTAGTCAAATTAAATATACGCTCATTGTAATAAAGATCACCTGTCATGCACTCAACTGAGATGTTACCTCAACGTGAAGGGCCTCCAACCAGGGTCGCCTGAAAGCATCTCGGAGAAGCCAAAGAGCTGCATATTCTCTTGATGGTGTACGTGGTTGCCTCCTAGTGGAGGGAGGACACTTGTCTTCTCTAACGCAACACCCCAAAAACAAAAGTTAGGTCAAATCAGGTACTAAAAGTCAAATTGAATCATTACTGACGTCAGATATTGATTATAAAGATAATGGCGCCACCTACAGGCACTTGGCAAGTTACACCCAGTCAACTTCTGGTCCGTAGTTTCAACACGAAAACAAGTTGATTAGTTACCCGTAGAAAGTCGGACTCCCCTATCACCACAGATAGGAGTAGGGATGATAAAACTAAGGCATAGGGACACATGGGATTTTGGATGAATAACAGAAAATTATAGAGCGTTACTGCACGACGTGTTTGCCAGCTATCGTTTCACACAGATCGAAGCTACGTTCGCGTATACGTTACAATTTGGTCATCCAGTCACCGTTGCACGGTTGAATCGATGGTAAGGTCCGAACTGGTTGTCGAAAAGGGGGTCCTCTCGAAGCAGATCTCATCACCAATCTGCCGAACGCTTTCGTCTGACAACCGCCGGGCCCACGAAGGTCGCAATTTGCGCGTCCCTTAACCAGAAAAGTTTCCGTGGACAGCAGTGATGCTTCAGGAAACGACGTCATGTTATCCATTCCGACTTAACCGTACACTATTGCCTTCGTCTTGGTGGAAAGTGTCTCACTGGTGTCGGATTTACAGTAGTCGCTTGCACTTGGGCTCATTTACGACACGTTACCATGGCTCCTAAAAGACACAACCATGAAGCCTCCAGTTCAGTCAACTAATTTTCCACATGTAAACAAATGGAACGTCAAGGGCTGACTGACCATTTCATTAGATACACATGCAGTCTTCAAACATCTAACAGCTCTTTATAAGACGGATGCCATTTTTACAGCAACTATTTAAAGTACCTGTAAACTATTTAAAGTACCTGTACACAATATTTCTTTTAGTCTCTGCCGAGAATCAATTACTACTGCAACTATTGTACTCTCAATGTGTAGCTGCCCATAATGCTAATTTGAACACAGTGACAACAAACCAGTCAACACCAAAAGATTTTTGTTTTTATTGAACATTGAGTCTTGTACAAACCTGAAAGGAAAAACAAATATTGAGTTTGAGCAGCAAACATATGGATGGACAGCATTTAAGTTGACTTCATAGGTAAATGTGATTTCAGACTAAGTTGGCTTATCTTTAGCTGGTTTTCACCATAGTCGATAAGACGGGGAAAAAAATTGTACATCCTTAATCACATCTGAGGAAGCAACTTGGTTTGCAAGCATCTTTTGCGACTTACTGCTGGACTAGTTCATCCTCCTGATCATTCTGTTGATCTGATCCTCCCTGTTGCCAGCGTCACCTCCTTCCACAAAGTGGGTGGTCTTCTTGTTCATGCCACCACGAGGTGACGACAGCTTGAAGGGCCACAGGAAGTTGTTGGCAGACTTGAAGTTCTTGCCAACGGTGTAAATCTCATGGATAAGGTCCTCTACGCAGATTATGCCATATTTGCCTGCAGGTGAGCATTTAAGCATGATGTAAACGGCAAATGGCGTAAAAGCTATGGTTTTAACATTGGTAACATCTTGCAACTGCACTCCAAATGTGGTTTCAGACACAATTGGCAAAGTTTAAATTTTCTTTCACCATTGTCGATAAGACGGGGAAAAAAATATGTGCATCATTAACCACAGTAAGTTTATCCACATGCAGATTGAACTGTTGCAGCAGCTGCAATGAATCAATTCAAACTAAGGCAAGGTTCACACTGCAGGTCTTAATGCTCAATTAGTTTTTTGGGGGGGATGAAATCCATTTTTTTATGTATAATAAAAGTCAAATAACAGTTACTGAAATCAACTTTGCAAATTCACAGACAATCAATCTCCCTGCAAATTGCTCTCTCGCTGGCTTGCGGCAAAATCTATGAAACTTGGCTGTTCAGACTGCTGTCTAATACAGGACCACATATAAATGTGGCCCAGGTCAGAATTGGCGGAGGAAAGAAGGGGATGTTTGAGATTATCATTATTAAAATACATAAATCAGACAAAGGTCAGATATGGCGCAAAAATATGACGGGTTCTGCCATGTGAACCTAGTTTCAGTCACGTGGTGAAGTGTGTGCATTACCAAGGTTCTTCTTCACCAAAACGTTGTCTGTGAGGGCAATACGCTGTTTCCTGATCTTGCCATGGCCACGTTTGTAGATGAGCTCACGCACAGATTTCAGGTTGGGATATCTGTCATGTTTCAAGGTGTAACATGAGGTAAGAAAAAAAGATATGCAAATGCAAAGTAATCATTGTCGGAACAGCAGTTTCACTTGGGGATAAAATTCGCTTTGCCATTATTTGAACTTATTCACAGAGGATGTTTTTTAAATTGAAATGTGGTTTCAGACAAAACTGGCAATTTCAGTTTGTTTTCACCATGGTCGATAAGACGGGGAAAAAAGTTTTGCATCATGAACCACATTCCAAAAGTGTTTTATTAGTAAGGATGCACCAATACGTTTGAGACACTTGCCCTACAAGTACTCATATTTGAGTACTTGATGCCACTGCATCTTGCAATGATGAAGAAAAGTTGTTTTAGTCTGACCAAACATTGTTTAAAACTCAAAATATATTTTCTACTTAAGGTAACAACTAGTCATGACAAAAACCTTTGGCATGTCCGCCTCCATCAATGCCCAAGCAGAGCATAATTATTTGCAGCCTGCCAAGTGCTGTCCATGTTCATCTAGAAATACTTTATTTTACACATGGCTGGTAAACTGCTATCAGTACCACAGACTCTGTGCTTTTTTTTTAGGAGGTTCAATATCGGCAGCAATACAGATATCGGCACATCCCAAGGTTATACACAGCACTGGTCAACAAGTTTCACACCAAGATTTACAATCAACGGCAATGAACTTACCCCCATGCAATGTAAGGTTCTGCGATCCTGAGCATGTTAATTGAAGCCTTGTTAAGCTTGACGAACACACCGTTGAAGATCTGACGGAGACGCATCAACTGCAGAACTTTGCGGACCTTTGGGCTGACGCCATTGATACTGTAAAGCATGGTACATTACCTTAGAAAATATGCAGGTAGAGCGACACCTGCTCATTTTTGATATTCCGTGTAGTTTCAGACCAAATCTGACTTAGTGTAATGGTTGTATCACCATAGTCGATAAGTCGGGGAAAGAGTAGTCATCATTTACCACACGGGACAAACATCAGGACATGGATTCCTGGTTATATGAATTTCAAGATGCGAGTTGCGTTTTCAGGGTCAACATTTTAACTGGTTTAACATAGGCAGAAGAAATCCAACTTTCACAGCTCCAGCACAAACACGGATAAGCTTCTCTTGATAGCAAACACCCAACAACTACAGTTCTGGTGATCAGCCTTCACTTACCCTCTGATCCTGATGACAAATGCCAATTTGGGCTCAGCTGGCACATAATAGTTTCCCACACTGCGGGCAGTTCGTGAAAAGCGGATCTCACGCCTGTACATCTGCCTGTACTCCTTGTGGTACTGCTCAGCCCTCTTGTAGATTACCTTTCTTTCTGCTTTACGGGCCTAAAACAAAAATAAGGTCTGTCTGTATTAGCAGCTCACATTCATAGCATTACATTCGCGTCAGCATCACTTGGTGTGATTATTGCCATTTACCTTTTTAACTGCCAGCAGCCGTTTTATGCGAAAGGCCTTGCTGGCGGCGTAGGCCTTTCGCCTTTTCAAAAGGCTCTCAGGGACCGACGGAAGCTTTTTTCTGTAATAAATTAGGATTTTTGAGTCAAACTAGGTATGGAAAAACAGCGCGTGCGTAATGAAGCTGGTTCGAGATTGGTCTCAATTTAGCTCGGGAGGACGCGAACTTGCAAGCCAGCCATGCTAACCGGCTCCATAACTGGAAGGCATCAATAAATACTACATGTTGGCTATCATTAATATTCGCCAAGTAAACGTTCCTCGAACGTTTACAACAGCTATCCAGTTTAAATGTTTCACGATAAAACTTTTGCCACATATCTTTTACCACTTGGAAAGACAGCCATATTGTACTCTGTCCACGGTGTGAAAACGTTGACTAAACGACAATGCAATGCATCTATGTTCAACAATACAAACAAGGCAACATGGTACATAAACTAAATGATACCCTCAAAGATTAAAATAGTTTTCATCGGTATTTTATCACAGGATTCATTAAGATTCGACTTCGCATTAGACACTCACTCTGCGTCCGCCATTGCATCCACCGAGAAAGAGAAATTTCGTGATGCGCATGTGCAGCTTAAAGATTTCAGGACCCAATGAAGCTGTTCTCTTAGATGCCTGATTAATTGTGAACGAATATCGTGTACAGTACTGTACTGTACTTTACTTTATCATGTAAATCTAAATGGACCTTCATGCATACTTTTGGGACAATTTTGTTTTAAAACTATGCTATAAATTTATGCCCCTCTCCCAGATAACTTATTCAATTCTATTTACATGCTGCCAGACCATGTAAACTGTTACGTTACCTCAAATGTTAATGTTTGTACACTACATACATATTTAGGAATTCTGCTTTTTTTTTTTTGCAGTTCATGATTATCGTGATGATATATTTTCCCCATTATAAACATATTCTGTTTTTATTAAACTTATTTGTCTTGTATTAATTATATAAAACTGTGAATTCCAAAATGTTAATTCAGGAGTCATTAGCGTGTAGGGAAAATACACGCTTGTGTTCATCAGCAGACCCTCGTTTACTTATTATCAATACGTAATGACACAGCTAGTTAGCTTTGTGAATTGATTCACGTTTTATCATGTATTTTTTTTATCGTATACTCTTTTGCACATGTATGTTGACAGAATGCATGTTAATATTTGATGTGTTATCAGAAACAACAACAGCGTCAATAATAATAATACTAATAACAATGAATACAATACAATAAAATAATCATAATAAATGTCACTCAGGCATTCTTTTTGCATGACAGCATGAGTGTGATTCCTTTTCTCGTGTGGTGCGCCACACAAACTACAGTACAGTACTCACAGCACAACGGGTTAGTAAAATAAACGAAAAAGAGGCATTTGGCAGCTCTACATTTGTTTTTCGCAGGGGGGCGCTCTCGCTTTATTTTACAGGTAGATACTCTATTGGAGTGCGTCTGGAGGAGCGTTTTCATTGATAATGCAAATTAGAAAACATAACTGTGATTATGAGAACAAATATTTTTAGTTAGTAAATCCATAGCTCTGCCAACATTTGGCCAAATTACATTTGGGTGGTTTATATTATTTTGTTCAAGCTACATGACTATATAGCTAAACGTATGCTCTTTAAACAGCAAAAATGCATTACGACATTGGAATACGTGAACTTTAATCATAATAGTTGTTTTTCAAGTAACTGTGTGAATGAAATTAAGGTTTGGAGCACAGATACGCCCACCACGCGCAAAGAGGTAAGCGTGCGTCCTGCAGTCGGGTTGCACAATTTGAAGAGGAGAAGAACTTTGAACGCACTCCAGGTGCGCCACTTATCTGGTGGTGCGAGCACGTTTGTTTTGTCCCGGCCACACTCTGCAGCTCTCGTTAAATAATTATCTTGATGGCAAGAGCATACAAACACCGGCAGGACACACATAGCTGAAATCCTCTGGCGTTACTCGTTTGTCTCTCAGGGGTGATGGATCCACTTTCAAGCTGCGCAATGCGCGCATTGCAATGAACCAATTAGTGGTTGTCAGCCACCACCGGTATACGACTATAATACTGCAAGATGCTTACGCAACAAGTCTGTGAGCCATAGAATTTTCTTGTTTGTGCCTTTTGACCATATAGGATAGATAGATAGATAGTTGACGCCCCAATTCCTTCGTATAACAAAAGTCATGTGATTAGTGTTGAGTCAAAGCTTTGTGGTTTCACCCCCATT